AGTCTTGTGAATAAACTGCCCTCCATTTCCCCCAAACCTTTCCTGACTTTCCTGTTCTCGCACTTGGAATTGTAAAGTTTCTCCGTGTGCAGGAACAACTCGCCCTGCCCTAATTCCATCTTCTTAATGAATATCTTTCAAGGCCTGTTCAAACATGACTTACTTCAGTAAAACTTCTTTAGTTCTTTAAGTCATTGTAGTCCTCTCTTCTGAATTCTTTATATTCCTTCAGTACATTGCTTTTTGACACCTTTTCATGTTTTCATCTGCCTTGTGTTACAGATTTGTGTATCTGGTGTATTTTTCTAATTATTAAGTTCTTGCCCAGAGGCAGTGTTCAATATCTTTTTCTTTATCTGTTACATTGACTGTGCCTAACTTTACTTGAGACTAATAAATATTTATTGATGGACTGATAAATGGGCAAGTGGGTGGCTTTTGTGACTTCAGCCACACGTTCTGCAGACTTGTTGCCCTAAAAACATTTCCTCGTGAGAACTGGAAAATTCCTGCTTGATACTTGTCTAGTGCTTTCATGTGGCTTTGAGACGGACAGTTCCAGCTGACCCTCACCGACGTCCTGCACTACTAGCCTTATAAGTGAGGAAGCCATGTTCCAGACAAGTAAATATAACTGTTCTAAGTATCATTTGCAATCTTAAACTTGCATTTTATGAAGAATGTTCTTTTCTGGTATCTCACTTGTTCCTCTTGTTAAATCCGAGTCAGTCTGTCAGGCAGCTAAGGAATATTTTGATGCATGGACCATGTACCAGGTACTATTGCAGATAAGGGTTGCTGAACCGAGCTGGTGTCTCTCCCTTGAGCATCTCGAGTTCTAAGTTGAGGAAGAGGCACAATAAATTTGTAACTCAGACAAAATAATCTCAAATGCTCATGAATGCTATGAAGAAGAAATAAATAGGTTGATATACTAGGGAGTGGCCTTGTCTAGGGATGGAGGATGTTGCTTTGTCTATATGACTGTTAGGGGACAGCCTGCTGAGGAAGTGGTATTTGAACTGAGACCAAAATCATGGGAAGGAGGCAGCCAATGAACAATTACAGAAAGAGCCTTTTCTGGTACAAGGAACCAGAGATTTTCTCAAGGAACAGAAAGAAGACCGATGTGGGTGGAAAAGAGAGAGGAGGGGTGGTAGAAGCAGATGGTACCGGAGGGGCTGGGAGGGGTTCATGTGGGCCTTCTCAGTTATAATGAAAGCTAGGGCTGTTTTTGTACCCATACAGGCAGTTACTAGAGGGTTTTTGGCAGGGAAATATTGTGATTTGCTCTATGTTTTAGAAATACTCTAGTTATTGTTCTGAGGATAGACTGAGTTGAGGATGGTATGAGTGATAGTGGGGGCAGGAAGTCAGTAGAACAAGATTTGAAGGTCAAGTGGCTTCTCCAAGGGTTAGATTAGGGAGGGAGTCTTTTGCCACTTCATTGCCGATGGTCACATGGAAGGTCAGTGACAGAGTAGGGGGCATACTGTGTATCAAGGTCTTTGGGTTTTTAAGCTAATGCTACTGGCATTTGGTAGAAATACAAACCATACTTTCGAGGGCCAAACAGCAATTGACTAGTTCATTTTTATTATTATAGCTAGTAAAAGTAAAGAAAACTTGTGTACATCACTTTTTTTCTTATTTCATTTGATTATGTTTAGTTTTAAGTTATTTCTTTATCTTCCATTTTTTAATATGCTTTGACCAATATTACTTCAAATTTATATGCTGACTTACTTTCTAATCATAGGCTTTTGGTGGCCATTTAAAACTATTTTTCCCCATGACAAACTTGTGTTTTTCCTTTTTTTTTTCAAACTTGTGTTTTTAAAACTATTTAAAGAAAAAGATTTTAGAGCTAATCAACATTTGAACTATGCTTTTTCTATGAATAAAAGTGTCTTACACAGAAAATGAGGGAGAGTAATATTGAATTTTAATTTAATCATATACAGTCTCTTCATTAAACAGTTGAATCTTTAAAATATTTTTTATTCTCTCATAAAAATAAAGCGTTTAAATACCAAATGTTCTGAAATTGTTAATATCAAATAAATTAAAAAATTTGAGACAGTTGAGACCATTTCTTGAGAGTATTTGCGCTGCAGTCCCAGTTAGATCTAAGGACGAGGATCAATCATCCATAGCTACTTCACAGAGAATTTCGGGGTCTCTTCAGTGAGAGGTTAAATGCCTCGGGGCTGTTTTTCTTCATACAGCTGGCTTCTCGTCTGCTCTTTGTTGGCATTAGTCTGTGACCAACTCTGTGTCAGGCATAGATGCAACAACTGGAGACACAAACATGATTAAAAAGAGCCTCCTGCTCTCACTTAACTCACCAACAAAGATGAACAAGTCAATCAGCATTTATAGTGCCAGTTGACATAAAGTGGTATTCTACCTGGTACAACAGAAGGAAGCCTGGGAGCACCAGGCAGAGATGCTCCCTCATCCTGAGATCCTCAAAGCAGGCTTCTGGGGGTGGGGGCTGTCCTCCGAACTGTTACTAGAAAGATGGATTCCTGTTAGCAACACAAGGGTATGACTGTCACTCCTTTCTACCTTCGTTTGAAAGTAGGGAGTTTCTGAGTGTATTACATAGACTGTTACAGAGGGAACACAGCTAAAAGTTCTTGGTTGGACATGTAGCTACAGCTATTAGTAGCTACAGAATGGTAGAAATATGAACCATGATTCAGCATAGCACCACACTATCTTAAATCACATTTCCGCATGGAATCCTCCACAATAGCGCTCCGGGTTTGCTTTGATTTGGATTTGGTCAGGCTTTCTTGTAATGAAAACTCCCTCTGATCTGATACAACCTTTTTCTCATTTTCTTTTTCCTCTTCTCCATTTTTCTCCTCATTCTTCCTCCTCCTCTCCTTCCCCTCTTCCTCCTCCTCTTTCTTCTTCTCGATTTATTCTTTTCTCCATTTTAAAATCACATTTGTAAGTGTTACATGGTGCTAGAGGAAATGGCTTGAAAGCATTTGCTCTGTGTTTGAGTAGACCCACCACCAGGAATACTGTTCACAATATTTCTGATGTTCACTTGACATAACTTTTCTTAGTCCTTTAAACAGAGTTTTGGGTTCAGAGGCTTATGGAATGTGCTGTAGCAAATGCATGCATGCAGTTTTTTGCTCACACATCCCTTTTGCTATCATCTAATTAGAGTAGCATCAGCAGGAGACAGGAAATGCTTGAGCTTAGTCTCTTTACAAAAAAGGAAGCTGATCATATGGAAGCCAAGTTTTACCAAAATAGCTCACAATAGGGGAACATGTCAGGACTGGACCTGAGTGGGTATTTTTGTTAATATTTATTTTACAGATCCTGCTAATGAGTAAACTATTTCTGGCATTCATTTGAATAGCGCAGTGGGTGGGCATTAGCTTTCCTAGGCAAGTGGGGCTTTATTTAGTGAATTACAGGTCTTTCTTTGATCTCCTAATTGTTATATAGTTGGAGTGATTTAAGGCAACTGGTCCCCAAGCTTCTTGACAGATTCCTGAAGGGAAGATTTTCATGTCTTCACAAATAAATTATTAATAAGAAGATGTGTGTGATGAGTTAGTATCTTAACTCGATAGTTGAATATTGTGCGAATTTAAAAGTGGACTTACTGAGTATTTGATGATCCATGTTTAGTATGCAGCCAACTGGGCACAAATTGGGTGATACTGGCTTTTCCCACCAGAGCGCAGAGATTAAAACTTGCAAAATTCTGGGGACAATATTAGTTGTAAAACAATCGACCATTCTGAGTTAGTTGCAATGATTCTGAGGTTTCTGGGTAAAGGTCTAATTTACGTTTCAGCTTCTTCCTTCTAACATTTTCCTCTCTTCCATTTCATTAGAGTTTTGAATGCTTAAAATTGATAGGAGTATTCCATAAGGTGATGCATGAAATGAACCATAAAATGCCTTCTCTGTCACTGGTGATATAGGGTGATCCTTAAAGACTGGTGTCTAGATTTTTGGATTTTACTGGTCAATAAAATTAAAAACACATAGTTGCCAGTTATTTATTTTTCTACTTAGAATATCAAAAAATGCTTCAAAAAGGAAAAAGCTAATATCTATCCTCACCATTTTCCAAATATACTTTAACATCAAAATGTAACTAGGATAAAATCTCAGAATAAATGAAGTCTTCACTAACAGAGGACAATTGGTGATGGTACCTTGATGTTTTCTCCGTGGACTGGTGACAGTTTTACCAAAGATTGTCATTCAGTCTTAGACTGTATGTATGTGAGGAACTGCTTTCAGAAGATCCTACATCATCAACCCACTTCACACAGTCTGTGGTGTAGTTTTTGGTGTCTCTTTAATGAATTGGGACCCTGCAAATGTGTCCTTATCTTCTTTGGTGGAAGTTAATTATTAAAGTTTTTAAAGTATTGAAGAGTGAAAGAGTTAACATTATTTCACCTAACTATGTAGTTATCAGCTGATGCTGGTCATGTGCCTAGGGGTATATAGAAGATATCTGAGGGTTGAAATGTAGGTTTTTTGCCCATATTTGCTGGTCATCACTCAGTTAATGTTATTTTGCATCCTCTCTGGCTCCTGCTTTTGCTTTCTCTTACTTAATCACATTTCTCAAGAATTTTTGCTCAATCAGTGAGAACTCAGTGATAGATTATAGTCTTCTTTTTCCTCAAAGAGTCCTTCAGTATTTCAAAGAATTTTCCAAAGAGGCCTTTTAAGTTTCTGGGGAACATTGAAGAGTAGGGTAAATCATGATATGGAGATTTTTTCAGATCCTAGAATAGTGAATTTGAAATGACACAAATCAGTTTTTGCAAAATGGTACCATAATGCCTGTCCTATGGATATACATATCCTGCATTTTTGTTTTGACTATTTTACTATTGGGCACTTTTTGAAACACTGGAGTACCTTCAATAAATATAAAAGGTAGAGAATGCTGCTTAATAATGATTTATTTCATTCTTTTTGATTTTATGCGTGCAAAATAGACATCTCAGAAGGCCTCTTCATCTTTACCATCGCTCAGTGGATCATCATGCTCTTTCTCATCCCTGGAAAATACCATAAAGACAACCAGCACTTCGTCCTGTACCTTATCTAAAGGAAGACAGTCCTGGATTGACGTAAACAGTTCGTCTGCTGCTGAGGACGCAGGGCCATCTATAGCGTTTGCTGTGCAGTGTCACTCGCCCGCACCCTCAGAGGCAAACGGTCACCAGGCCCTAGAGAACAGCTCTGCCGCATCGGAAAGTGGATTTTTGAACTCTTTATCTAGTGATGACACATCTTCATTGAATAGCAACCTAGACCATCTTACTGTCCCAGACAAGCCCACTGAATCAAAGACAATGGACAGAGGTAAACCAAGAAAGTATTTACTCATCTTTAGATAATGAATATTTGGGTGTGGGTGTGGAACTCTAATGTTAATCTGTAAGAAGAGTGTTTAAAGTCATGAATGATGATTCAGTAATTAAATAGTCCTCTGGGGCTAAGCCCAGGGGCTGTTTCTGTAGAGGAGTTTACACGTGGAAAACTCTAGCATTGAGGCCATTTATTACCTGCTATAAGCAGGTAATGCACCAAATGCTTACAGTCACCTATGAGACAGGTGATCATAAAATAATATTTTTTCTACCAGTCTGAGGAAAGGCTTGACTCTTTTCTTTTTTTGTCCCATGATCCATGCTCCGAAGCTGGTAGGAATCAGATCAGGGTTTTGTAGACTGATATTTATAATATCACCTCCCTGTTTCCAAACAAACTCAGAGCAACCACCTTTCCTGTGCCACAGACACAGACAAAATTTGGGATAGCTGGTAGGTTCCTGAAGATGCCCATATGGTTACTACCAGGAAGACAATTTCCATGCATTTTGGACGGCAGCACTGGAACTCCTTTGTGTTATTTTAAACACAGAGGAGAACACAGTTTATGGTTTGGGAAATAAGTTTAAGTCTTAGCAAAGGAAAGAGTTAATGGAAGGTAGAAATTAATAATGTGAGACTTCTTCTTACTCTGTGATAGTTGGTTCTTACCTTTTATTCAGGCTAACTTTTCTTTACTGTTAGATTCAGTCAGGATGTGTCTTTTCTGATTCGCTGTGGTGTAGAACAAGCTCACCTAGTAGAATATACTGAGCAATGACCCAGTGATGAGTTTTATTTGTATTTTTTTAGTGTACTATTGAGAGAAAGACAACTGGCTACTGTTGATATTTAGCCAGTTATCATGATGACATAGATGACTGTGCTCCCCTGTCCCCGAGCTTAATCAGGGAAAGTTTAAGTTGTCAAATTTTCAGATGTATCCTGTTAATTTAGTATTTGTTATCAGAGTAATTTAGGCCAAAGATTGCAACAGCAGACCCGGTTGTGTGTGTGTGTGTGTGTATGTGTACAGTGTTTTAAAGGATGTGAATCCATTCTTCAGTCCACAAGTGTTACCATTTCTTGTGATGTTTCACACAGTTGAGTTGCCTGCATGGCCTCTGATGGCATTTTCCATTGATACCCTCAGTGTAGGCCAATGATCTGCTTTACCTCTAAACAAGTAGAGTGAATTTATTGGCAAAATAACCTAAATGTGAGTGTGGTGGGGTAGGGAGGAGAATAAAAGTAATGCCACTGAGGTTTGGGCGGGGTCAAGTTTGGTCTATGAGGAATGGGAAACGTAGACTCAGGCTGGCCTCAAGTTTGCAAGGAGCTGTCTGCAGAGGTATGGGCTTAGTTTGTATCTGCTTGGAAGTACATCATCAAAGTCGGCAGTGGGGTGAAAAGGAGGTCGTTTTAGGGTAAGTGTAAGAGACTTCTTTTTAACACTGAGAAAGTTCAAAATAGAATGTACTCCTGGGAAAATAATGCATTCCTGGTCATCAGAACTATTTTCTTATTCAGAGACAACCGTCTCTTATTGGATATTAATTGCATATTGTTCATTCTATTTGTTTTTACAAAGATATTCTGAAGAGAGAACTTAATTATCTTCAACTCGATGGCCTCTAACTTGATACTTAGAAGATCCTTCTAGATAGTAGGAGTGGTGAAACTAAAGAAAATAATGAGAAGTACTGTATCTATTTCTTTCCTGCTAAAAATTCTTATTTTAATCATTGGGCCATGAGGTAGAATTAAAAAGGTACACACGCATGCACACGCACACACAACCGCAATATGAGGATGGTTTCAAAACCAAACCAGAGAATAAAATTCTGTTTTCATGCTTTCCCAAGAGATAAACTTTCAGATTCAGTTGTCTTTAGGGTGAATACCCTGAGAATCATGGGAAGGTGTGTGAAGTTTTTACTCATGACTAAATGTCACTCTTGGAATGCATGTGCACTGCAGAGCCTGGCTGGGTGCCAACAGTTCTTTTAGTCTAAGAAGGAGGAAGCAGTGTTTTTAAATTTTAAGTTAAATGTAGATTGACCAACAATATGTATATGCTTCCTCAAACATCTTGACATGGAAGTGTTCCTATCAGTAGAAAATAAAATAAAACAAAAGTATTCTCCTCTCACTGATTTGTTGGCAATTGGGGTATGTTGCAAAATTTTTATTGATGATTTTCTCCTGCTATTGGGGATTTGGTTCAATTCCCAGGAGGGTTAAACAACATAAAGCCATTGCTATGGAAACAGCAACTGAGTCTTTGCTTGTGTTTCTGATGACCTGCTGTTGAGTAAGCAGATTGTATATTTTGCATTTTTTAAAACACGTGTGCATTGGAGAATGTAGCTTTTCATTTTTGTGACTTTTAAATATTATTTTTATCTGCCAATTAAAAAAATAAAAACCCTGACATTCCTGTGTTGGAAATATTGCCCAGGGTGTTTTCATGACAAGGATTGAAGTTTCGACATCATCCAAAATAGAAGGTAGGACTTTAAATTAAGTCTTGGTCTTAAGATGCATTTGTTGGAGAAAGAGGCTTTTTACCCTAGACAAAAAGATTCTTAAAGGGTAATAACTGAGTCCTGAAACAAGCAGACAACATGTATTATAGCCTTCTTTTTATTTAGACAATGAGAGAAATATTTTGCAGTCGGTATGCAATTAAAATTGTCATTGCTGGAATTTTATGCTGAATTTAAACACCCATTTAGACAGCTCTCCCCTGCTGTGTAAGCTATTAAAAAATGCAGGATGTTAATTGTATTCTATTGCCTTTCCACACTGGGAGTCTCAGGAGTTCCAGAGCTCTCTAGATTCTTCCCTGAGTATTTCTATAAAGCCTAGGGGGAAAGAGGTGATGGGGTTAACGGAATGTTCATCTCAGCCCAGTTTTCTTCTCTGCTGTACCTTTCTGTTTGGCCCATGACTGATGCTTGTGTGCGGATGACTCACATTGTATGTCCCTATGTACATGATGTTAACAACATGGAGATAGTTTCATTATACTCCACCAGTGGGGTGATCATACCCTGAATGCTGAAGAGCTAATAGCCACTAATAAGACTGATACCCAAATATATGAAAGTATATTTTTCAAGTACAAGTACAGCCAGAATTAATCTGGGAGTCATGTTGAATGAAAATCATTTTTAATGAAAAGGAAAGCACACTAAAGCACGCATGACATCTCAGGAAAGTGACATGAAGAAGCCAGATTTTAGAACTTAGCAGATTTTACAAGAAAATTTTATATAATCTGAGTGTGAAGAGTACAGATGATACATTATTTTAGACAACTACTTCAGATAGTGCTGCAAGGAATTTTGTGGCATGTTTTTTTAGGCAGCAGGAAGATAATAAGAAGAAAAAGTTGAATACTGAACTCCATTCAATTTAGCATTATTTTTTTTGAATACCTAATACCTAATTCAAGTACTTTGTGCTAAGAGGAATACAAAGATGAGCAAGATACAATTTGTGGTTTAAAAAAACATTTTAACATTTGATAAGGAGAGTGGGAGGAATAAAACACAACCAAAGAGAGCAGAAAATAAGTGCCATAGAGAGATACAAACTACTGGAGGGATTAAAAAGGGATCAGGGATGCAAAATATGGAAGATCCAAGATGTGATCTAAGTGGAGGCAGAAGACGTGGGAAAGAGAGGTGAAGAGATCTGGATAACATTGAATACGGGGCTAGTCGTTAGTAGATAATGGATGACCATTTCTAAGCAAGGTAATCACATATGTCAGCTTCAAAACACGGAGTAGAAGAGAAAAAAGGAAACCTATGCTCATAGGAATAAGGAAATTAGAAGGGTCAGGCAGTTTCTGTAATAGCTGGGCTGGCTGTAGAGACAGAGAAAGCAAAGGTTTCTACAAGCATGCCTATTAAGGTGAAGGCTGACCTTGGTCTTTGTATCTCTCTTACTTATTTTAGTCACTAGAAAATTTCCTAGTGATTCTATTGTTTTGGGCTGTGATTTGAGAATAGGGATAAATGCTTACTGTTGGGAAAAGCTTGAATCTCTAATTGTTGACCTCAGTGGCGTTGATCTCAGCTGGTGGGTGAGACCCACCACCACCTGCTTTCTCTGCTCTGTGATGTGCCTTTGGGAAATCCTCCTTGTGTAAACGGAATTAGTTTCCATTGCTTTAGAGCACTCAGTAGTAATAGATCACAAGATATAGATCTACTCTTGATGAACCTTATGTGTTTCTATCTTTGGGCTCATATAAAATGTTGATGTAATATTCTTTTTCTTTTCTTTTTTTAAATTAATAGACAACTTTTTAGATCAGTTTTAGATTTATATAAAAATTGAGCAGAAAGTACAGAGAATCTCCATTCATTTAATCCCTCTTCTTCTATATACAGTTGCCTCTATTATTAATACCTTGCATTAGTGTGGTTTACCTGGTGCGATGGATGACTAATATGGACATATTTTTATGAACTGAAGTCCATAGTTTCCATTAGGGCTCACTCTATCTTGTACAGTTTTGTGGGTGTTGACAAGCACATAATGTCATCTATCCACCACTGTTGAATAGTGTCACTGTTCTAAAAATCTTGTCATCTCTTCCACCCCTTTTCCCAAGCTCCTGAGAACCACTGATCTTCTTCCTCTTGAGTTTCACCTTTTACAGAATGTAATATAGTTGGAATCGTGTAGTAGGTATGATTTTCAGATTGCCTTCTTTCCCTTAACAATATGCATTTCAGTTTCCTTCATTCATTTCATGGGTTCTCATGGCTTTTTATGTACCACAATTTGTTATCCATTCATTTGCCAAAGGACATCTTAGTTGCTTGTTTCTAAGTTTTTGAAATGACAAATAAGGCTGATATATACATGTGTATACAGATTTGAGTGAGGATATAGAAATTTCAACTCATTTGGGTAGATATCTAGGAGTACAATTGCTGGGTTGTATGGTAAGACTATGTTGAGTTTTTTGAG